TAGGAAGTGATCTCCTGTGCCAATGCATTCAAGGCTATTTCCCACTTTCTCTTCCATGAGATTCAAGTGTAACTAGATTTATGTTGAGGTCTTTGATCCATTTGGACTTGAGTTTTGTGCATGGAGATAGATATGGATCTATTTGCATTCTTCTACAAGTAGATATACAGTTATGCCAGCACCATTTGTTGAAGATGCTTTCTTTTTTCCATTGTATAACTTTGGCTTCTTTGTCAAAAATCAGGTGTTTGTAGGTGTGTGGGTTAACGTCAATGTCTCCAATTGGATTCCATTGATCAATGTGTTGGTTTTAATGTCAATACCAAGCCGTTTTTATTATTATAGATCTATAGTAGAGCTTAAAGTCAGGAATGGTGATGCCTCCAAAAGTTCCTTTATTGTATAAGATTGTTTTGGCTATCCTGGGATTTTTGTTTTTCCATATGAAGTTGAGTATTGGTTTTTCAAGGTCTGTGAAGAATTGCATTGGGATTTTCATGGGGATTGCACTAAATCTGTAGATTGCTTTTGGTAAGATTGCCAGTTTTTACTATGTTGATCCCACATACCCATGAACATGGGAGATCTGTCCATTTTTTGATCTCTTCTTCAATTTCTTTTTTCAAAGATTTAAAGTTCTTTTCATACAGGTCTTTCACTTGTTTGGTTAGAGTTACCCCAAGATATTTTATGCTATTTTTGGCTATTGTAAAGGGTGATGTTTCTCTGATTTCTTTCTCAGCCCATCTATCATTTGTATATAGGAGGGCTATTGATTTTTTTTAGTTAATCTTATATCCTGCCACGTTACTGAAAACTGTTTATCAGCTGTAGGAGCTCCCTGGTGGAATATTTGGGGTCACTTATGTGGACTATCATATCATCTGCAAACAGAGAGAATTTGAATTCTTCTTTCCAATTTGTATCCCCTCGATCTCCTTTTGTTGTCTTATTGCTCTAGCTAGAACTTGCAGTACTGTATTGAATAGGTATGGAGAGAGTGAGCAGCCTTGCTTTAGGTCCCTCTATGCAATATTTTCCCCCTCTTGAGGCTTCCTTTGCTCAGCATTTTACTCACGTTGACAAATGGCAGGATCTCATACTGTTTGTGATACCTTAACAGGCAGAACCTAACTCAACAGCTCCTGGTGCCTCACCACAAATGGTCAGTTTCAGAAAAGGAAGCCAATGCTGTTATAAAACATAGTGATCTGTTCTCTTAATTATTCAAATAAGAGGCCACACAAATGGCCCAAGAGACAAGGCCAGATAATATTTCTTAATGGCTATAAAAAATGGACCCCATTCACTGTAATGCAAGGGACTCTCTCAGAATTCACCTGTTGTGTGTCTGCCTAAAGTGCCTATTATTCATTAAAACTTTCATATCAATCTGGTCAGGCAAATATTTTACCCTGCTCCTCGGGCTCCTTCATCTCAACACGACAACTTTAATAACAGGCAGGTCCTCAGACCTTACATAAGGAATTTCTACCTTGTCTTTGAGATCCTGCTTGATGTCTGTCAGGAGAAATGTAATGACTCACCTCAGGTAGGTCACGTCTAATGGTGACCAGCTCTAGTTTGTGGGGTATCATATTGGAACATGTGTCCCTCCAAATCCATGTTGGATCTTCATTTCTAAGGCAATGATAATATTGAGAGTTGGGGCCTTTGGAGTTACCAACCCAGGAGGTTCACCATCATGACAGAATGTGTCGCCTATAGAACAGGGCCTGAAAGAGAGTACAGTCCTTCCCAGGATCATGTGAGAACATATAACAAACTGCCATGTTAGAACAAGAAAGCAGCCCTCATATATCCAAAAATACACCTCATGCACTCCAAATAGCTGAATCTTAACATGTCTACTTTGAATGTAGATATGTTGAGGTCTACAACAGCCAGCCTTTATCACAGCATTTTTGATACTACTTGCAAATGTCCCTGGAACATCCTCTGGGTTCACTTTCTTACTGATAGATATCAGAGTCTATGCCCAATAAAACACAGAGCTTTAGGGGACCATGTTTTTGTTGTTACCATTTCTGTTGTTACTACTCTTAAAGTGGAGCCAGTCCTTCCTAGGGTTTGCTTGTGAAATGACCCATGTAGACACTTCTGTGTTTGACTTGTGGTCTCCAGCAGGTGATTGTCTTGGGAAGTTGGGGCCTAGCTTTAGGGCAGGCGTCTAGCTCCGGGAAGCAGTTTCTTAGCCTGTGTTGGAGGTGGGGTGACCACCAGTACAGTGTAAGCACCAACTACTCTTGCCACCATGCTTTCCCTGTTTTCACAAAGTGTGAGCCGAAAGGACCCTTCCTTATGTTACTTTCTGTGGTTCACTTGGTAGCAGTGACTGCAGAGTAGCTAACACAGGCCTTTGACAGGAGTGTGCCCATCACTCATTGGTCCATGGCTTGCTCTGACCTCACAAGGAGCCACTGTGAGGAATGACTGACACCTGTGCATATAACACAGTGCCTAGGGCTGGGTTTTGTCCTTCTAGTACAGAGAGCTGTTGGGTGGTGAGCTGTGGGACTTGGATGTTGGTGAAAGTTTTGGAGCTGGATATTAGTGAAGTTTTGGAGTCGGATGCTGGTGACTTGTTGTACTTGACAGAGTGAGTTTTTTTTCTCACTTTCCTGGTTGTGCTTTGGGGGTATTGGTTTCATTTTTCATTTTATTTGTTGTATTTTATTTTTCTGGTTTTAGAAGTTAATTTTTACATATTTTAAATTTTCTTTGTTAACTATCTTCCATTTTTCTTTTTCTAACTACTCATTTTCTTTGTCTCTTTTTACTTTTTAAAGATTTTGTTAGTAAATATTAAGCATAAAAAGTAAAGAATATTCACTATAACATATCTGTATCTGCACATAATGTACTTTGATAATATTCACCTACTCTATATACTTACCCCCTCCTCTTTCCCCTTCACATCCCTAATACCCCTTTTACTATCAGGTCCCCTCCCCAACCTAAGATCCAAGACTTGAAAACAAATGTCATTGTGGGACTGGCCTGTTATACAACACCATGATTTCCAGGTCCATGCGTTTTTCCCCTGAAAAATGACAATTTCACTCTTTTCAGCTGAGTATATGATTCTTGCCCTTCTGTTTCTGCACAACATTGCTAATCAGTTGGCATATGTTGCAGCCCTTACATGACTGGGTGAACCCATCTTCATCATGAAGTATGGTCCTTTGAAGTGCTGTTGAAGTTTGAAGTATTCAGTACTCTAAGGACTGTTGCATCTGTCTTCACCAAGGACGTTAATTATACCTTTCTCTTGTTACTCTATCCACCTGGTTTTGGTACCTGAGTAATACAGGCTCCTAGGATGAGTCTGGAAGCATCCTTCCCTTTTCATTTCATAGAATCATCTGAGAAGCATTGGTATCTTGGTGATATTTTGTGTATGCTCTAACAAAGCTTTCCTGAAGATCATTAAGACAAAAAAGCCAGTAACTAGAGAGACTTCTTAACTCTAGCCATCCTCAGACTAAAAGTGTGCAACATTCTGTCTCCAGGAATCCTCAGACTGAATGCAATGAGCTCCTGTCTCCTCCCACCTCTCTCTGCCCAGCCATTTCCCTTCTTGTCTCCACCTTTTTAGTACTGAGATTAAAGGTGTGAGCCATCAACACCTGCCTCTGTCTTTCTTTTAGACTGGATCAATCTCATGTAGCTCAGAATGGCCTTGAACTCACAGAGATCCATCTGCCTCTGCCTCCCGAGTACTAGGATTAAAGGTGTGAGCCATCAACACCTGGCTTCTATGGCTAACTAGTGGCTTAGCTCCGCACTCTGATCTTCAGGCAAGCTTTATTTGTTAGATCACAAACAAAATATCACCACAAGTGTGAATTCTTCTTTAAAGTCTGATAGAAATCACCAATGAGTTTGTCTGGTCCTGGACTTTTTTGTTTGTCAAGAGATTATTTTAAATTGCTATTTCGAATTTGTTGCTTTTTCTTTTTTCTGTTTTAAATTAGTTCTTTGAGAATTTCATACAATATATTTTGGTCATGTTTATCCCTTCCTCCAATTCCTCCCAGATCTTCCATACTCCCTTTCCTACCACCCATATTTGTGTATTTTTTTGTTTTGTTTTTCACCATCAAATACAGTTTCTGTTGTCCTTATATTCTTGGATATATGGCCTTCCACTGGAGAGTGGTCGGTCCCACCTACCAGGGGCCACACCCTTAAAATGTGTTCTCCCTCTCCTGGAATCTATCAGTTGTCAATAGTTCATCAGGGGTGTGACTTCTTGTCCCACCTCCCCTCTTCATGCAGAGATTTTTGTCTGGAGTGAGCTTAAGCAGGTCCCAATGCTGTAAACTCAGATGGGCAAGTGCCCTGCTGTGTGCAGAAAACAGTTTGTATTGTCATCCACTGCCTCTGACTCTGACAGTCTTTCAATTTAGGTGCTTTATATCTTCTTAGTTGAGTTTTGATAGCTAATATGTGTCTAGAAGTTTATTCTAGATTTTTCCAATTCACTGGAACATTTTAAAAACATTCCCTAGTGATTGTCTAGATGTCTGGATTTCAGTTGTATCTCTGGCAATACCATGTTATTTTGTCTCCCATATTATTAACTGGTATCTTAAATTTTTCTATTAGTTTCTTATTTTGTGTCTAATATTATTAACTTGTATCTTAAATTTTCCTATTCGTTATTTTGGCTAAGATTACATCAGTTATATTTATTCTTAAAATAATCAAGTCTTTGTTACATTGGTCCTTGTATTATTTTAGTTCCCATTTCATCAATTTCTGCTCTGGACTTGAGCATTTCTTCTATTTCTCTTGGGTTTGGCTTGTTCTCGTTGTCCTATGACCATGTCATGCATCATTAGGTTATTTTGGACATCCACCTTTTTTTAACTGCAGGAATTTATAGCTATAAATGTTTCTCCTAGACCGGCTTTTAATTAATTTTTATCTTGCATCACTAGTTGGTGTTGGTACGAGCATTTATATCAACAAAGATGAGGAGGTGGGAAATGGGTCAAGGCAACACCCTACGGTACAACTCCTTTGACGAAGAGGCTTTGACAGAGCACTATAAAATCCTAAAGACCCTTGGCCGGGGAGCATTTGGAGAAGTAAAATTGGCTAGCCATCTACTCACCCAGACAAAGGTAGCAGTAAAAGTTCTTCCAAAAAGCGCAAAGAACAGATTCATCAAATCAGAAATTGAAATAATGAAATGTCTAGACCATCCCAATATCATTAAACTTCTGCACATAATCGACACCACAAATAACACTTACATGGTTATGGAACATGCCCCAGGCGGAGAGCTGATGGGCAGGATTGTAGAGTTTGGCTACCTACAGGAGGAGGAGTCCCGTAAGGTATTTAAACAGATGGTATGTGCCCTCCAGTATTGTCACAAGAAAGGGATTGCTCACAGGGATCTAAAGCCTGAAAATATTTTAGTGGATGGCAAAGGCAATATAAAACTCAGTGATTTTGGGCTGGGCACCACGCTTACCATGGGGAAGAAGCTAGCATATTTCTGTGGGACCCTACCTTATTGTGCCCCAGAACTCTTTGAAGGTGGAGGCTACGATGGCCGAGCAACCGACATCTGGAGTTTGGGGGTTGTACTCTACTTTATGTCGACAGGGTGCCTCCCTTTCAAGGGAACTACCTTTGGGGTACTAAAGGACAAAATCTTGGCAGGAAAGTACCCTGTTAAATTCAAGCTGTCGCCAGAGCTTTGGGATGTTATTGCTAAGTTGTTAACTGTAAATCCTGGACAACGACCCAAAATAGGTGACGTTGTGGGCTTTCAATGGCTGAAGCATGGCAGTGAAGGTTCTCCCAATCCCTTTAGAGAGAACGATGAGGACAGCTACCCAGACCCCACTGTGATGGTCATCATGGGTGTCATGGGTTATAAACAAAAAGAGATACTAGAATCTTTACAGGAGAAGAAGTTTGATCAAGTGATGGCCACCTACTTGATTCTTAGGCAGCAGTCACCCTGGGGAGATGACATTATAAAAGCTCTTCAGCCCAAGCAGGCTGCTGGAACCTTGAACCGTATTACAGGCCTTCCCACAATACCTAAAGTGACTATAAAGAGGGGATCTAGTGTCCCTATCCTTCCCACTTCTTCCATGTTGCCCACTCTCCCTGAGAGTCCTGAGAATGATAAAAAGGGGAGGTACAGTACGCCTCCCGCCCTGAACTGCCCTAACAAGAAAACAGACCCAGTTCACAGAATCTGCCCCCAGCGTGTACTTGAGGCTACTTTCATGAACAGCTCCTCGGGGGATTCAGAGAGCACTATTAACACCTCCGATGAAATATGTACCAGCGTGTCTTCAGCACTGGAAACTTATTCCAACAAGTTATCCCGGAATGTGTCCGAAGCTGGCCCTAACAAATCAAAGAGCAAGGTGTCCTCACAGGATGTTTTATCTCATCACACCCCAATGGAGAAAGTTCAGTGCAAAGACGTCAACACATCAGGTGAAATTATTGGCTCATCTCTCCCACAAACCTCACCTCAGGAGGACCTCAGAGGACAGCCCCACAGTGTGGCTATAGCTAGTCGGAGAGGTGAAAAGACCAGTTCATCTCTCCCACAAACTGCACTTCAGGAGGACCTCAGAGGACAGCCCCACAGTGTGGCTACAGCTGCTTCAAAGAACAACATGACCTCACAGGATAGATCACCCCCATTCTCCAGCAAGGAGGCCCAGGATGAGGATCTCATTGTACAAGAAAAAGACCTCAGCCCATCCTCCCCAGAAACATCCCAGGGATACTTCAGTGGCCAGTGCCAGATTGCACCCAGAGCCCCCTTTAGAAAGCGGATTTGGAAGAGCCTAAAGAGCAGGATTATAAAAGGCCTGAGAAGTTTATGTTGCTGCTTACCAACAGAAAAGAGGGAGCGCCTAGGCTGCAACAAAATCCTGGCTGTGAGCTTAAAGGGCCATGGAGGGAGCCGAGGCAACAGGTAGGTGGAGGGGCTCCAATGCACTTTTGTATCTAGGCCTCTTTTTTTTTAATGATCTTTTCTTTAAAGAAAAAAATATTTATTTACTATATGTGTGTGGAAGTTAACATGCAGGAATCAGTTCTGTCTTTACACCATGTGGGTCCTAGGGAATGAATTAAGGTCCCTAGGCTTGGGGTCAAGTACCTTTACTCAGTACGCTGCTTCCTGGACTAAATGATATGCTTTTAAATAAACAGATTATAGGAATAGGTGATACTATATTATCACACCAGAAAGCAAATCCCACAGTATCCTTCCTGAGAAACTTGACCTAGATGTAGACAGACAGCAGAGGATAGTGGCCCGAGGCTGGGCATGGATGAGGAGAAGGGTTGGTGAAGAGAGCAATGGGACAGGCGCTCAGGAGGAATCAGACTGCACAGGGCCCAGCACTGCTAAGCAGAAGACCTGCGTGCTCTCCTAAGAGGCCCCTTTCTTGTGTCTGTTTCAAGTGCTGTTGGAGGCACTGTGCTCCCCGAAAGCTGAAACCAGAGAGTGGAGAGCAGCATGCTGAGGATGCACACGGGCGCTGGAGAGAGCCAGGTAGGAAGTTCAGATGGCTGTGTGCCATGGGAAGCTCTGTTCATATCACAGGCTGAAACTAGGAGCAAAGTGTTCCTGTGTCTGCAGATGAAGACTGGGGAGGAGGGGGAATGCCACACCCTTCTCAGATCACCTGGACCCTGAGGACTGAGAAAGGATTCTGGGAGGCAAGTCTCACAGACTCATGATCCTCCTGACTCTCCCTTGCAGGTAGATTCATGATGGCTGGTGGTGCCACAATTGTGCCAGTAAAGTGAAGCACTCTGTGGGCCCGAGATCCTTTAAACAAGAATCCACGGAGTGCTGTGATCATTAGGAAAACAGGCCTCAGAGGACCTTCCACGCACAGTGAGTTCATCAGTCCAGCTACCTGTCTCCAGGTGTACCTGTGAGCCATTAGAAGAGACAGCGGCACCGGAAGCAGAGGAGGACCCCAGAGGGCCAGCCCAGTTGTGTGCGTTCACGATGAATATTGCTGACCAGGTTGGAGCCAGACAAAGAGGAATGGATTTGCAGGGAGTGTCCGTCTTGTGCTCATTTGGGAAGGTAGAGTGTGTGGCAACAGGTGAGTCCATTAGTTATGGTGCGGCTCTCAGCACCATCCTGAACTACTAGACAGCTTGCTTCCTGTCCCCACCAGATCCAGACACCTTCACAACACACCCCAGCACTATTACTGGGGAACTGCTTTTTGCTTTGCAACCTGAGTCATATGGATGCACTCTTCTGTACTCTGTATCTGGACAGACAGGGACACACACACACACACACACACACTTCTCCCAATATACCTCATGCACAGTTGACACTAGTGAAGTTTGCTTGAACTGGAGAGGACTCCCATTCAAGCAAGATAATTTCATATTTCATGTGATTTCCCTCCTGGAAATGCCTCAAATCCTTCTAACTCAGCTTGTTCCTGTCTCCACCTCCAACACAATCACTTACCACCCTGCTCTATTGCTTTGCAGGAGCCATGTGAAGCCAGCACATGCCATGGTGCACATTTTGCCCCAGGGCATCCGTTCCTGTGCAAGGTAAGGCCCACCAGCTGTGCTTTGAGTGGATGCAAGGTGAAGTCTGGAGTGTTTGACAGTTGAATTCAGAGATGGAGCTGAATCTATCCAAGCATGATCGTGGATAGAATCTGTTGATGGGAAAACAATGGCAACCCCAGGCCTGACAGTGAGGGCTTCCTCTGGGTGGCTCATGGTCTCTTGCCATATTCCTACCTCCTAAGATAACTCAGAGACAACTAAAGTGATTTAAGAGGTCAAATCCACACCCCTCCTTAGGCCCACACTGTAGTGTACCCCAAAACCACAGTTTAGTACACCCCAAGATACTATTTTCAACAGTACCTCTCACAAAGATTCAGCTGGTTTCTTTCTGACATCCTGTAGGGACATTGCTGTTGCTGAGGCTTTGTCTCCAGGCATCAGGCTGGGAAAATCCTTTGCTGCCTGTGTGACCCTATGCTGGGGCTACCCAAGAGACTCCTGGGACTACACTCAGCCAGGGACATTTTCAACTGGATGGTGCTTAGAGCAGGAGATGCCACTCAAAACCCTAACACACTGGTTGGAAGTGGGACACACAGGTGATGCTCCTCTGCTCAGGCCATGGGGAAGATGTGATTGGTTACAGGGTGATGGACAACTGAGCATTTGGTCATCTTACCAAAATGCCTTGTTATCAGGTCTCCTTGATGGAAGAGGCTTCTTCTGATTGACAGAGAAGTTGGGCCAGAGACTCACAAGCAGATGGACTAAGAGCAACAAGAGAAAATGTCTACTGACCCAGGTAGCACCCAGGCTCTTGTACTAACCCCTGGTGTAGGGAGAACAGTGTCTGAGGCAGCTCGGAGACTTACCTCACTGAGCGTGATGCCTCTCTTCTCCTGTCAGGAGCCATGTGATGGTGAGGTGCTTCTCAAGTCCCCTCCATCTACTGCATGGAGTCAGCTGTTCCCTTGATCACCTAGGCAGGGACACCACTTCTTCATCCCAAATACTACCGGCTGCAAGGGACAGACATAGAGAACACTGACAGCAGTTTGAGGGCTGTTTATAGTGGGGCCCCTTTTAGAGAGTGACATCAACCAATACCTAGAGAACTGAACCAGGAAGACAGTCTCTAAGGAAAGGTCCTAGATAGTGAGAGCTGAGTGACTGATGACTTTATGCCTTGTGTATCCAGGTGAAGATCAGCCATCAAGGATATCCTCAGAGAGCTGGGCATAAGATTGCTCTGCAGAAGTGTTACCAAGAAAGACAGGCACTGGACAAAAAGATACACGGCACAGTATGAATAAAGATACTGTTTGCTTGTTACAATAAATTCCTTTGTATATTTGAACCACATGCTCTGATGTCCTGATTTATATCTGTATGAATATTTTGATAGTGGAATTGGTCAGCATGTATATCTTCTGAATTTCTCCCTGTGGTGAGAGCAGCCCCATTCTGCATGATGTACTTTGGTCTTCATTCTGTGTATTAGATCTCTGCCCTCTTCCTTCTACATACTGCCTAGTCTACATCCTAGAAACATCTCTCCATCCCGATATTATCACTAATGGAGAGTTTGTTTTAGGCTCCACATACGCAGTGTTCCTCTCTTCTAAGGGTAAATTTTTCTTAGCATAATGTCCTTCAGGTTGACTCAAGTTGGCCACAAGTCTCCGTATTCCTCTTCCCTTTCTTTCTCTGAGACAGGATCTTGTTGTGTAGCCTAGGTTGACCTACAACTCCTGATACTCCTGCTCAGAATCCTGGGTACTGGGGTGACAGGTTTGTACCTCCTGAATTATAAGGCCTAATCACATTCTTCTTCAACGGACATGTGGATGTAGGGTAGACACATTGTTAAAGGATTAGGTTTTGATTCATTTTGAAATACTCCCAACTGTCTCTGCAGTTGTCCTATCTCAGCATCATCAAAAAGATCCTTATATTTGGGTGTGGAAATGCTCACAAGGGCCCTGAATCCTAATCACAAGGCACTGCCTTTGTGTAACCTGTAACCTGCTTCCCTCCTCAATTTGTATTTCTGCCCTGCCATTTGTATCTTGTTGAGGGGGCAGAGTTTCCTTCAAGGGACAAGGGATGCTCTGTGCTCACATGTGAATGAGAGACTGAGAGGCTTCCAAATTGACAGGAGCCCTGGCCACCTGCAACCAAATCACTGTCAGAAGAAATTCAAAAAGCAGCTCACCTCTCTTCCTGTGAGACACAGCCAGCATCTGTCATCTGGCAGGTCTGGTTTTGGTTTTGTGAGGGTTCCTGTACTGTGCTGTATCATTTCACCCCTCGATGCATGCCGGTTGACTACATAGCCTGGCTGTCATGAATAGGTCTCAGATACATGGGGTAGTACACAGGTCTCTTTGGCATCCTGACCTCCTTTCTTTTGTTATGTCTAGGATATTGGGATGACTGGATCACAGGGCAGACATGGTTTTATATTTTGAGAAATCTCTGCACTGTGTCTCATGATGGTTGTATCAATGCTTTCTCTGCCAACAATGTGCAAGGGTCTCCAATTCACACACAGGCAAATGTATTTTCATCTTTTGATAATATCCAAATTAGTTCATATAGGGACATTTATGACAACTCATTTATCAATGGTTGGCCATATTTCCTGGACAAATGGAGTTTAATTCACAAAGTTCTAACCTATGTCTCTATCTTGGTGAGTTTTCCCTACTTTTCCAATAGTAATTTCAGATCATCAGGTCTTACATTAAGGTAGTTGGTCCATTTGGAGTTGATTTTTATGCAGGCAGAGAAATAAATATTGTGAGGATTTATCAAGGCAACCCCATGTAGCTAAAAAGGGGGTTTATTTTGGGGTAACTTTTAGCCAGTAAAGGGGTTGGTTACAGGATCTGGGAGAGGTGAGGTGAAGTCCAGTGGGGTTCTCTGGAGAACTTTGATTCGATCTGTCTTCCAGCATCCAGGATCACCAGGAACCAAGATATCTGGCACATCCGGATCTTGGGTCTTAAGGGCTCCTGTCTCAGCTCCATCCCAGGGACAGGTCATAGGTAGGCATGGCAGTTACCGGAAGCCTCACTAGTGAGGGCGTAGTACTTCCAGGTCAAAGCTGGAACAGAATCCACTACTGAAAGGATGAATGGTGCTGGTTGGAAAAGTCATGGGCCATGGCTACCAGAGTTAGAAAGGGCTTTATTAGAAAGAAGAGAGGATAGGAGGGAGAAGCCAGGCCTGGTAGGGGAGGGAAGCAGGGCAGAGCAGACAGCAGAGAGGAAACAGAAAGAGAGGGTGGGGGTCCGTGTCCGGCTTTTTAAGGCAGGGACATAGTCGCCTGTGCTCCCTGATGATGTAAGACGTTAGAGGACGTCTCCCGGAAGAGGGAGAACAGAATCCTAAAAACTACATCTCCTCCTTTTGT